AAGAACAAAGGTAGAAAACATTCATCCTATTTACATGAACGAATAACATAACTAAATCCATAAAAGGAAGAAGAACTAACCGAATCAAAAGGGCAAACCTGTTTTGAAGGCTAAGTTGCTTCCAAATGTTTAAAAACTAATCTAAATTGGAATTTGCAGAAGAAAATATGAACAAAGATGGACAAACCTAGGCTAAGGCTATGAACTAATCTGGAAAATCTGGAAAATCTGGAAACTAATGCTGAAATCTGGAAAATGGAGTCTGAAAGCTGAAAAACATGCTCTGGGCAGTCTGTGTATGTGTTGGGCAGGCCTTGAACTGTTCTCTTCTCTCTGTTTTTGTTCCCTTCAATGCTAGTAACCTCCTCCATGATCTTCTCCATGATCTTCGGTACTGTTCCTCCATTTTCGGCACTGTTCCTCCATGATCTGGTAATGGGATTGCAGGTCTGGCAGTTATTTAATAGTTGTCCGATGTTTATTTAACCTTATCTCCAACAACCTTAAAGATAACTACCTAAAAATCCTGAATTTCCCATTTTAAATCAAACTCAAACTACCAGATCCAATCTTATCTTCTGCCACCTAAGATCCAACCTCCTTGGAAATTCGTCTGGGCCATTAAATTGTAAGCCAGCCTAGCCCAAATCCAGCCTATTGATTTTCTTGATGATTGGGCTTTACCTTGACACGTGGCCTTACCCTATTGATTTATTTTAGGTGTAAACAATGCCCCCCAACACTTGGTTTTATGGGAATAAATCCAAGTGTTTAAATTTTAAATTACCTTTCAGATTCCAAAGGCCACGTGCAAAATCTACTAAATTCCAAGATGATTGCAGCAGACATTCCCAACTTTTTCACAGCTAACTCTATCTGAGTGCATCCAGCCATCCACAGCCAGTCATGGCCGCTCAATCAAACTTGCTCTCATTTTGGAATAAACACATGAAAGCAAATCAACTTATTTATGCACAGACAGAAATATGAACCTGGTTCAGACAGCTTCTTGGGACTCTAAGCCTCTTGCCTCCCAGACTGTGGGGTAATAAAGCTTGAGATAAATTCCATTGATTTTTCTGGGATGAAGCTCTCCATCAAGTGACTCTAACCAATAAGCACCCCCTCTCAACACTTCATGAATTCGGAATCGTCCTTCCCAATTTGGAGACCATTTCCCAAATCTGTGATCTTTCTTGCCAAGAGGTAAAATTGCTTTCCAGACCAAGTCACCAACTACCAGATTTTTACCTTTTACCCTCTTGTTGTAAGACTTTGCAATTTTGAGTTTTTGAGCTTGCAATCTATCCAAAGCTGTCAAACGTGTGTCTTCAAGGTCCTCAAGCTCAAGCATCATGGCCTCATCATATTCTCCAGACTGGAGATTATGCTGAATTGCTATTCTTAAAGACTTGGCTGTTAACTCCATTGGCAAGACTGCATCATGGCCATATGTCAAGGCAAAAGGTGTCATTTTCGTTGAACTTCTCTGTGAAGTTCTATAAGCCCACAGTGTTTCAGACAATAATTCATGCCAGC